TTTGATTCTTTCTGCTGTTAAGTGAAGTGAAGCATTTTCTCCATGGCATTTACTTTCCTCCTGGGCAGTGCGAGTGAGGGCTTGAAGTGACGAGGTGACCTTACCTCCATGAGTTTAAGCACGGTAGGTATGTGTGTTAGGGTGCTGGATTTTTCCTGGTCTCAGGGAAGAACTCTAGAAAGGTGAGATGGAAACCTGCCCTTCTTTAAAAGAAGTTCTCAGATGGTTTGCTGAACCCTAAGGCAAGCAGCGCCATGATTTAAGGTGGCTAAGGGTGGAATGCAGCGGGGGTTTAGAGATCCTGTGGTTAATGTCAGGAGACCGCATTGAAGCATTTGTGAATACACGTCTTGTTTATTCTCACTGCAAATTAGCCAGCCGCTGCCTCCTTCTGACCGCCAGGACGTAGAAGGCCTGTCTTTTCTAGGAACCGTAGATGAACATTTTTATTTTTCATTTTAAAAGTGCAGTACTACCGGGGCACCTGGAGGGCTCAGGTCCTGGTCCTGGCGCCCTGGGCCCCCTGCTCAGCGGGGAGCCTGCTTCTCCCTCTCCCTCTGCCCGGCCCCACCTCAGGCTCTCTTGTGCGCACTCTCTCTCTTTCAAATAAATAAATAAATAAAATCTCTTTAAAAAATGCAGTAGTACCTACGTGTATTTTTTTTAAAACAGGTATTCATAGGACCCATCTCTCTATTCCCAGACCCATTCCCCAGAAGCAACCGCTAGTAATTAACTTTTTCTGGCTTTTATCTTGTGGTAGATGCTGCCAAGTGCATATTAATATTCTCATCCCACTGATGATTTTATCAAGTTGGAGATGGTCTCTTGACCTCTTCCACGTCACATCATTCTCCTTCACACTCTTGCTGTCCATTTTTGATGGTTTATCAGTTTTTGCCTTTGTTTTCACTTTTGGAACTTCCATATGCATATTTACAACTTCATTTTCTTGTTCGTTGATCTTTTACTTCTGTCCCTGCTTTTGTAAGCAGGCGCCGTGGGGACCCCCCCCCCCAACCTTTCCGTTTGCTCCCTGGCTCTGGCCCTCAACAACGGTAAGGCGTGATTGAGATTAGCCTTCACGCTGCGTCTGCAGGTTGACTCTAGAAGTTGACAAGCGTGCACAGCACCTACAAGGATGTACCTGCTGCTCAGCCTGGAGCTCTCTCGGGAGGCGTTCCCAGCACTGACCAGTGCACTCTGCTCTCTCGCCTCCCCTGAACGCTGTCGGCGGGGGCTGGCTCATGATGCCCTTCACTTGTTGCTCTGTTTCCAGTGATCCTCTTTATTCTGTTGAGAGAAGGCCCCGTGGTGCCTCCGCATATTATAAATACATCTCCGTTGTCTTCCCGTGCCTTCGCTGGGATGAGCTGCTTGCGGGCGGCTGGTCGGCTCCCTGTCCACGCACAAGAGCGTGTGTGTTCTCCTCGGGCTCCTGGGGCTGCTCCTTCCCCGTCCTTGGGCGCGCATCTTCCTCCTCCTGAAGGAGCTAAACTTTGAGTCCTCCTGTGCCTGCAATGATTCTGTTTTGTCCTCCACAATGACTGCGAATTAATTCTAGGGTCGAAGTCATTTTTATTTAGACCCTCGAAAGCCGCTCCTCTGTCCCCCAGTCCCCTGTTGCACCGGCCGCCTCCTTTCTCTTCCTGCTCACGGAGGCCTTAGGGTCATCTTGAATTCTCCAACTTCTGAATTTTTACAATGACTGTTTTCCTGAGCGAGTCCATTTCTGCTTCTGTCTTCAAGTCTTTTTTGCTCTTTATTCTGCAGGTGCCTCACCTTTATCTTTTAACCCCTTTTTGATAGGGGGAGGCCGACGGACAAAAATAGGCTTAATTTCCAGGAGTGTATTGTTTAACTGTCCCTTTTCCAGAGTTTTCTGTTCTTTTGAAGTTTTCTTTAGTTCTGCTCCAGGGTGGGTTTTCTGTTCCCTTCCTTGCTGGTTCTCATTTGGCCTGTAGGTTCCGCCATCTCTGTGGGTGTAAGAAAGATGCAATGGATAGTAGGTTAAGTGGGAGCTCCGTGTGTGGGGCGGACCTCGTGTGTAGTGAGGCTCTGCTTTCGTCTGGCTGGGTGTGAACCGACTTTGCTGTAAGGGCAGTACCAGGTCTCCCGGCTCAGCTGCCCGCTCAGTTGTTTTGTTAGGCCGAGGGCACAGACATTCACAGCCTATGCTGTGTCAGGCACCGTGCCGGGCTCTGCAGACACGGCCGTGATGGGCACCTGAGGGCCCTGCGCCCGCAGAGTTTGCCTTCCAGGAGGAGTTGACACTCTGCTCTGTCTGTCCCAGAAGTTAGTTGAAATCTCTTCTGCCAGTCGGTCCTCTCCCTGGACTTTTTGATGTTGTAGGTTTATAGCTTTTAAAAAGTTCCTTTACTGTTTCTAAAATAGTATCTTGGCAGGTGGAGGATCGGCTGCACGGCTCTACGTTCTGAACTTGTAACACAGAAACTGGATTGTGACCTCGAAGAATGGTCATGTGTGAATGCTAACCTGGACTGGGTGGGTGCTGAGGTTCTCGAAAGAAAGCAACCACAGAGATTTCCCAATCTGGAATGAGACACATTGGTTTCTCGGGGCGCACAGCAAGTCTTGAGATGTAAATTTTCTACGTGCTGGGTCTGTTTTTCATCAGCCTCATTCCGAGGGCCTTAGTCTCGCCTCCGCTTGGGTAGGGACGCTTTGGTCTGGTTAAGCCGTCTCTGGCTTCACAAGCACAGCCTGGTTATTCTCCCCCATGGAACAGCTATTAAAAATGAACTTTTGCCTCAAATTTTCAAAACCATGTTATGTTAGAATGAATATTTGTCTCCTAGAACCTGAGGAAATGATTTCTGAAAGGGATCTTCTAGTCTTCATGGACTAGAAAATCTGCTCTGTGAAATCCGGAAAAACTGGAATAAACTCCTTTAAGTGTGTGTGCTTTTCTCGAGAACGGAGTCTGTGTTGTTTCTCAGAGTGGCGTTCGCTCCAACTAGAGCTGACTTGTCACTGGCCCAGCTGCTCAGGCAGCTCTTGAGTTCCCAGTGATGCAGTGAGGTCACTGTCAGAAGGTGACCTGGGCTGGCTTTCCGTCGTCCGCCGGAACCCTCCAGCCTCTGACGTTGGTGCTTCCTACTGTAGGACTCAGAGCCTGAGTTAGGCTGGGACACCTTCACAGCCACTGTGAAGAAAACGAAGGGTTAGAATGATAGGAAATGTCAGTGGCTGTCACATGAAGAAGGTACATTTCTGGTGCTGTTGTGTATGGAGAAGATCGGGTCGGGATAGCAAATGCATTTTTTAGTGCATCTTGGGGAAGTTTAAAAGACAGTTTTCTAGAGGAGGGTCGGGGGAACGCTGGGTAAAAAAAAGAAAAGTTAGGGGCACCTGGGTGGCTTAGTCGGTTGAGTGTCCAACTCTTGGTCTCGGCTCAGGTCTGGGGCTCAGGGCTGTGGCGTCAAGCCCCGCGTTGGGCTCCGTGCTGGGTGTGCAGCCCATGTAAAAAAGCCAGCTGATCTAATGGGGGTAGTTTACCTGTGCCGTAGACCTCACTGTCTGTTGTTTCTACACTGTTGTTGTCTTCCATGATTTTTATGAAATATTTGGGGCAAGTAACTGGTCTCTGAATGCAGTAAAGTCTCTGTCACAGAAGGAGAGCTGTGGGTCCTGCACTTTCAAGCAGAGCTGTTGTCCCAGGTCCATGCTGTCTAGTAGAAATGTAGTCTGAGCCACAAAATGCAGCGTTACTTTCTCGTAGCCCACGTGAGATCAATTAAAATAGTATATTTTATTTATCAAGTGATGAGTTCAATGTGTAATCAACATAAAATATCATTAAGGAGATATTTTACCTTTTCGAATAAAGTCTGGCGTGTATTTTATACGTACAGTCCACCTCAATCTGGCCTAGTCACGTTTCAGGTGCTTGGTGGCCGCCATATCTCACGGTGCGGTTCTAACTCGTGCGGGCCCCTGCCGAGTCTAGAAGCATCCTTGTGCTGCCCCTTCCGTCCGGCCACACCGGTGCCTTTCGCTTTTGCCCAGAAGGAAACAGGACCCAACAGTCTGCAGCTCCCGTGAAGCCCCGGGTGGGCTCTGAGGCACTTTCTCGGGTGGACTCCGACCGTGCACCAGCCTGCGGTGGTGTGTGCCTGCTTTTCTGCTGATGACGCGGGGCCCGGATGGGCTGACTTGTGTAAGGCCGCCCCTACGTGGTGTGTGGCGGGTTGGAGCCCAGATCTGAGCCCGGGTTTTCCAGACGCGAGTGCTCGTGTTCCCCTTTGACCGCGTGGTTTTGCCCAGCACGTTCAGAAGGGTCCTCTGAGGGGGCTGTTGTCCCAAGCCCCTGTTCTTACAGGTGAGGTGCAGCCTCGGAGGGGGACGTGCCTCGTGGTGGGAACTGTGACCGGGAACTCAGTGACTGTTCTCAGGTTGAGAGCTCGTGAAAACATAGTCAGAAGCGTGTAAAGCAGAGAGCAGGGTCTCCGTAACCCAGTCCTTAGAGCTAAGTGCTCAGTTGGGGTATATCCTTCTAGATTTTTTTCTCTGTACATGTCTAGTCTGCCCCCTCCGCCTCCAGAAATGGCACAAAGTGTTCATGTTGTTCAGGGAGTCGTGGAAGTGGGTTCCGGTCAGGGGCGGGGGTCCAGTGAGGGGGCTGAGGCTGCGAGACACGGGCTCACCGGGGGGGCCTGAAGTGTCCCCGCCGTCAGGGCTGAAGACGGCCAGGGCTCAGCTGACAGTGCCCTCTTATCCCTGGCCGGCCTCGTCCGACCTCAGGCTGCCTGTTCGCTCTTGTTTCCATGGCAAGTGCTCCTTCAGCGAGCTTTTCTCTGTGAGCAGGGTGCTTTCTTCCTTTGGTGAAGCTGAGGGAGAATGGGGGCCAGAGCTGTCCCCATTTCCAAAGTGGGCTTCTGGTTTCTTCCGTGGTGTCCTTGTCCTTTCGTGGTCTCTGGAGTCTGTTTATTTTTGGTGAGGTAAAGCTTTCTTAGTAACTTTTCCCTCCTTTCCTGTAGTGCCCAGTGACCTGACTGTAGAGGAGCGTCAGGAACTGGAGAACATCCGGCGGAGAAAGCAGGAGCTACTGGCTGACATTCAGGTAGGCGGTCACAGCGGTGACGGGTGCGGTGTGACGGACGTCCTGTTCTGCAGAGCCTCCTCGTGACATCTGCTGGGTGGACCCTAGCCCAGCTCTGAGCAGAGTGTAGTTCCTGACAGTCACCTTGGTTTCACCGGTGGGAAGAGGGAAGCTGAGGCTAGCTGGTTTGTGAAGCCCTCACCCAGTCGGTCACTTGTCAGAACAAGGTGACCCTAGGCCCCCTGACTCCCAAGCAGGGTTCTCACTGCCGAGTGGGGCATGGGTGAGGGCTCAGGTGCTTGGAACGCGGGCTTCGGGTTAAGCTAGACCCACGTCCGGTCCTGGCTCTGCCTCTTCCCAGAGGAGTGATCTCAGCTAAAAGGATTCTTTGAACTTCAGCCTCTTCAGCTGTGAGATAAGAATGAAAGCACCTGTTGGTAGGTTGCTGTCAGGGTTAAATGAGGCCCTGTTCCCTAGAGATGCTTCACCAGCGAGCGCTGTTTCATCAGTGTTTCGAAGGTGTTTTTGCGTAACTGCGAAGCTTTGTAGGACATAAGTCATAGAAGCCATTGGTTGGATTATTTTAGCCCTTGGGGCAGCAGATGTTATTCTCGTAGAATTCTTTGTAAAACATTTGGGAGCTCGGGGGGGGGGGGGGGAGGGAGGGGACATACCCTGGAACCCCAAAGCTGCAGACTGTGGAAAGACTGGCTCCAGTGTTGGCTTCAGTGTGATTTGATCATTTGCACTAATTCTTGGATTCCTATTTCACTGGCAAATGCTAGGAAATCTTAGCAGTTCTTCACTCGAAGCCCCCTTCACCGGGACTGTCCATTCGGAGGGTTTGCCACACCTGTGGCAGGGCGGGGGTGTAGGCTGGAGCTTGGGTTGGATGTTCCCGTTGCCCGCCGCTGGGCGGCAGTGTTGTCCCAGCCCAAGCGCCTCTGGCCTGGCAGGCTGGGTGTGTGGGTCATTCATTCATCCTGACTCTTCAAGCACACTCGCTTCGCAGGCTGCCGAGATGCTCTGATCGACCGATCGAGGCAGCCACCTTTCAGTGGAAAAATACGTATCTTCCATAGTGTCTGTGATTATAAAGCTTCCCTAGACATAAACTCCTTGAAGTCAGGAGCTACCTTTTTTACCTGTGGATTCCCTGGAATGTGTACCATCTGGTAGGAGCGCAGTAAATATTGGTCGAATAAATGAATTTTCCAAATGTTAAAGTTTTTTTTTTCTGGTTTGTCTTATTTTATTTCATTTTGGTTTATTTTATCTTATTTTTGGACGGAGGGAGTTATGTGAGCTGTTAGAGGGGCTCCTCTCACTTGCTCCGGCCCCTCCTGGTAACCCCGGGCTGTCTGTTTTGTAGAGGCTCAAGGACGAGATAGCAGAGGTAGCTAATGAAATTGAAAACCTCGGGTCCGCAGAAGAAAGGTGAGTCTGCCCAGCTGGTCGCTGGGCGGCGTGGCTGCAGCCTCGCCGAGCACCGGCCCGTGGACGGAGGGAGCACTTTCTGTCCTCGGTCCCTAGCACGCACACGCGTCACCATGTTTTCCGTCCTCCCCCCGTCAGTGCGGGGGCTCCAGCGGGTGAGGGCCTCTCACATTACTGCAGACGTTGAACCAGAGAACTCCGAAGGCCCCCAAAACCGGAAACAGCCCTTAAATGACTGTGTGAACTGGTGTCTCTTTCCTCTGCTATCCACGGTGTTTGCGTTTCAGAGTTTGTGCTTTTCCTTTGTGTCAAGGAAAAGCTTAACGCCACTCGCACCATTTTTGAAGGCTGGATCGCCCAGCTGTGTCTGGGGGCCACAGGGGGCTTGCTTGTGCCTCCCCTAGACTTGGGAGCCGAGCGTGGACGTGGGCCCTGCAGTGCAACGTGACGAGGACCGTTGGCAGGGTAACAGCGTGAAGCCTCAGCGACCTCCAGAGTTTAGTTTTGAATGGGGTTCCCAGACCGTTTTCTAAGTACTTAATGCACTAACTGGGCTGTTTCTAACTCAACTACATGTCTGTATTTTTCTAAGCCTAAGTCCCCAGTCTGGCTTCCTAAGACCATTTGAGTTTGTTATTTTAAGTGGGTGTGGGCGGTGCCATTAGAGATTAGTGAAGCTGCGCGGTCTACCGAAAAGGGCCAGCTCATCACTTCCAGGCTTTCTGTTGTCAGTTTGGGATTATAGCTTTCTTAACTTTACATTTAAAAAAATTGTAGCTTTAAAGCAATGGTTACATTGGAGTTTATCAGAATTTAAAACTTCTGCTCTTAAAGATACTATGGAAAGAAATAGGCAGGTGAGCCACAGACAAGGAGAAACATTTGCAGTAGTGTGTCTGAAAAAGGGCTGGTATCCAGAATATCTATGTAAAGAACACATGCAACTCGGTGATAAGAAGACAGCCCAGAACTAAGAGTGGGCCTGGGGTCCCTGGTGTTGGTGACCCGGCATGGCACCTTCTTGTCGTGTGCCACACGCGCCCGTGCCGTGGCCGGCAGCACTTACTGGCATGCTGGCCGGCGGGCACAGGGCGGGCAGCCTCTCGCTCATGCAGCACAGCCTTGCTGGGTGGTAAAGATGTTCTAAACCCGATCACGGTGATGGCTGCACAACTTCGTAAGCTTCCTAAAAATCGTTCAGATGTACCATTAAAATGGGTCTGTTATGTGATATGTGCATGATACCTGGATAAAGTTTTTTTAAAAATCATGTTAAAAGAAAAGCCCTGGGGTAGAAGGAACAAATGGACGTGGGGCTGGGGTTCGGATTTCAGCTGACCTTCCACACGTAGCCTAAGTATGCCCGCGCTCTCCTGATAGTGCTTTTGAGACCCCCTACAAGTCAGTGGGTGCAGGTGGGAACGACATTCGTCTCTCCCAGCCTCCCGACTGCCTGGAGGACTGACATGGCTGTGGTGGTTGCTTTTCAGGAAAAACATGCAGAGGAACAAACAGGTAGCCATGGGCAGGAAGAAGTTTAACATGGACCCTAAAAAGGTGAGTGAGAGGTGCTGGAGCCCTCGGCTCTAAGATGGGGTGACTGCGGGCTCAGCTGGGGCCCGGTGCTGTCCGTCACGGCTCCGGCCCCTCCGTCGAGCACACATCCCATTGTCACGTCCTCAGCCCCTCCCCGGCTGGGACTCCCCTGACCCTGCATGTCCGTTGCCCAGTATTTATTAGATACTCCTGCGCGTCTAGATTCCCACACCCGTCCTTCCTATGCCCTTTCCCCTCCTTCCTGGAGGTCACCAGGGTGAGTGTCATTGGCATCCTTGTTGTGTCTTCTAGGGGATCCAGTTCTTAATAGAGAATGATCTGCTGAAGAATACTTGTGAAGACATTGCCCAGTTCTTGTACAAAGGGGAAGGCCTTAACAAAACCGCCATTGGTGACTACCTGGGGGAGAGGTAAGGCCTCGGGGGATGCCAGTGGCAGAGCGGCTTGGTCAGGAGTGCCAGAATGCTCCCCGTCCCCGAAGAGAGCTCTGTCCTGAAGCGGCTGAGGGCGGGGGAACAGTGGCTGGTGTTACAGAGGCATGGGGACGGACAGAGGGACGTGGGCTTCCTCCTCACTGGGTGTGGAGGCGGCGGGACCGTGGAACTCAGCGTGGAAAGGGCCTGGCTGGGGCTGGACGGCTTGGATTCTCAGGCTCGGTGTCTGACTTCCGCTCCCCCCCCGACCCCATCTTTTGTTTTTCCTGCTAGAGACGAGTTTAATATCCAGGTTCTTCATGCATTTGTGGAGTTACATGAGTTCACTGACCTTAACCTTGTCCAGGCGCTACGGTGAGTGCGTTTGGGGAGGGTGCCCTGGAAGGTGGGAGAGGCCGGTCTCTGAGGCTGCGTCTGTCCTCTGTGGCTTTTTTTTTTTTTTAATTAAAGATTTTATTT